CCCTGGGTTGGTTTCAATCGTCAAGATCAATCACATCCACTCCCGCTGTGTTTTTGGAGCGCTCTTTTGTTGAGACCTCCCTTCACGTCTTGACGTCGGGTTCTCCACTCAATAATTGGTCACGGAATTTAGAAAAGCTGGGACAATATAACATCTTGTGTAATTAACTAAAATAAGTTGTTTGCAAATTGGGGTTTTAAATGGGAATTTTTTTCAATAACTAGTTTATTTAAGGTGTTGATATTATTTTTGGCCATCATATTTTTAACTGTGATTCATTCAATTCAATTGGAATATTTCGAGTTATTATTTTTGTCCACCCTTATATTACTAATTATTAATATTAACCAATTTCAACCAACCTTAAAACATCTAAAAGTATGCTAGGATTTTAATTGCCATGCATATGTTTGTATGAGTTGTTGATATACAATGTAGTTTATGTGATACTCATCGTGAATAGACGAAATGGTAGGAGTAAATTTTTGGTAGTTCTAGCAAGATGCTTTATCATTATTGTTAGGGGCTGTTTGGTTCGTTTTTAACTCGGTGGAAAAGTTTTACACCGTCTCCATATCAGATTTTTCGTGGCCACGTAGGATATAAGCTTTCCGTTGGTTTTTTTTCCATCTTTGGTTCGCTAGGGTTGAAGAAGGAAAACTCAGTGAAAATCGCTGTCACATCAGATTTTTTCTCTCCCCCAATTCCTTCCACAACCTTGTGAAATCGATGAAAACTATAGCCACGTCGGCTTTTTGCCATATAAACAAAAGTTTTTCCTTTTTTTTCCATGCGAACCAAATGCAAGAAAAATAAATACATTGGTTTCCCACCATTTTTTTGTGCGAACCAAAGCGAAACAATCTATTTCTTGGAAAAGTTTGGAAAACTCAAAACTTCTGTTTTCGTACGTATCTAGAAAACGAACCAAACAGCCCCTTAGTGTAGTAATGTGGCAGTAGCTTAGCTTAGAATATTAGCAAGCTCATTGACACTCATATATATCTACCTTTACCATGAGAGATACAACTGAGTAGGATTTTTCTTGCATAAGTTGAAATTTTACTTCACCTCTTACTCGGTGTACATTATATGCCTTACCTCAATTATGCATATATCTTTCTATGTTCCTGATCATATCCGTTAGTATTCCTCTATTTATCATCTTTGCTTATTCAGTATCATTTTGAGCTTATCATTCATTTATTTTATTTATTATGAATTATTATCAGTCACAAGTCCATCCTTTGGATCCATTCCTTTGGTTGTACTTGTTGAACCCGCTTTGACAGTTTATTTTGTTTTCCCCTTCTCTAGGTGGTTGATGTGTGCCGAATTGTGAAACTGGATTAGTCGAAGACAGTACATGAAAAGGTCAAAATGGATTTTGTATTTAATTAAATAGTTGTCTTATGTCACAAATTAAATCTTTTTCGAGTGACCTTTCCATAAATTAATAAAATACATACATTGAAATAGGCTTAAACATATTATCTCGATGACGTCATCATCGAGATGGTGTGTTGCCAGCCTAGTCACGTGTTGTTTAGGTCATGAGGTGTGACACACATCCTAAACAGAAAATTTGTCTAGCATGTTTTGGCATCCTAGACAAAATCCGTCCAAAATGTTCATTCTAAACGGATTGTCCATCTAAGATGCTGAAGAATTTTTAAAAAAATGAATATGCCGTAACCTGCTGTCATCTTATACCAATGCTTATTCATGTATTACAACTCTAAAGCCATACAAATGCGATGAGTTACTACAGAAGAAGGGCACAAGTAAATTTATGTCTTTTAGCAACTGAGAGATATCATAAAACAACGTATATCATAGAAGAAACTATACAATATACCTAGTTCACGAAGTTTACAACAATTTCATAAAATGACACATATAATTGCTATTATTCACTAGATAAATAAATCTCAGCGCAAGAATCATGACACAAAAAACTCAAAAAATACAAGAACCTTCTAAGATGAAAATGTTCAATTCATGTCGACTCAAATATGTAAACCTTCAGTCTGAATATTTCTAATAGTAGCAAGAGATCTACAAAGGAGGGAGCTATGCTCATAAATGTAAGTGCACGAAGCTTTAATAAATCAATAGTTAGATCTAAAAGCAAGAAAGGGGTAAGTAATCAAACATCACATGTAGGAGATTCCATCTATAAAATATGGTAATCAACTAGTAAATGAAATCCCAAAATAATTGACAGAAAAATGATATCACTAGAAATAAGAAAAGCTGAAGGCATATAGAGGTATCTTAGAAATTATTGATGTCAATTTTGAGAATTGATAACCAAAGAACCAAACAAGCCAAGACGTCACAACATTTCTTGAGCAAATCAAAACAAGCAAAGACAATTCTCCAATCAAGAACATAGTCACAAGTTAAAGTATATTAATTAGGGGGAAAGCAATAAGCATGGAATTTAAAGAAAACAATAAGCGTAGAATGAAAGAAAATAGAGAAGAATATCGAAAGGAAGCTTGGTGGTAAGATTTCATTCTTACATGCATCAGGACATCTTCCATTGAAGAAGTCATAAAGCCAATGACGATCAACACCGACTGCCAGTGAAGAATGTTTGATTAGTTAAATCATTAAGCATAGAGAAGTACGTATGAGATGGCTCAATAGATAACAAGAACTTTGTAGATATGTCACTATGAATATCCTTAAAATGAATATTTTCCACTTGTCGATTATTTGTAACTAAATCTACTCCTCCATACTTAAAAGGAGAATCCAAAGAATTACTGTTTATGCTACAGTAAAATATTGTAGCATGAACAAAAAATCGAATCTGCTACTCTGCGCTCGATATTGTATCATGAACAGAAAATCAAATCTGCTCATCCATAATTGAAGTTACTATTCATGCTATAATATTTACGGTATCATAAACAGTAAAGAAAATCAAATGTATTAAAACTTAGAAACTTCTTTAAGCAAAGAGGAGTAGATATAATTTCTAAATCAAATGTATTAAAACTTAGATCATTCTTTAAATATAGATGAATAGATATGATTTCTAATTTTAAGCATACAATAATTAAATCAAATGTATTAAAACTTAGAGGGATGCAAGTTCAAAATACAGTGCTTAAAAAATAAGGGACCGTAACATTTAGAACAAGGAAAATGTTATAATGATCAGTGGTTTCATCTAATTACTCACATCACATTGTTCAGGCCATCCATATGCTCCAAAGAATATATTTCTTGCTAAAAGTTAAAATGATAAAATAACTATCATATGACAAAAGTAGAAGCTGATTAAGTCAGATAGCTTCCTAGTATTTTAGAACATTTTAGCATGAGATTCATTGACTCAACTAAGATTATTTGTACCTGACTACTTCCCTAGCTTATAAAAATTGCAAGTTGCATGCACTGGCCCACCTCCTTGAAGGCGAAAATATGAAGAAACTTAATAATGTTTAAGCATAAGAACAAACACTTAGCATACAAAATTTGAACACAATCGAATCAGTTAAAGTCTTGAGTAGGAGATAGTTGATTGCAACAAAAATCAACTTTAGAAATGGTTCATGCGTAAATTAAAAAATAAAAAATAGTTTCTGCATAATAATAACCTTTTTAAGAATAAACCATATTCTTAATATGGTTTCCAAAGAAATAAAAAAAAACTTTTTTTTATATATCCTCTGATTCAACAGTGTATATACTTTTGACACCCTATTTTATACAATGAATCCAAACCGAGATACTTTCTGGTCAGTCTGACCCGAGTGCGACTAATCGGTTTAGCTAGCGAACGCGAAGGACGGGCCCTACATATCCGTCTGTTCTCTATAAAACAGACAACTTAGTAAATTGTGCCTTTGGCCCCATTCATTCACCAACCTATAATAGGGTTTCTTGGACGTTAGTTCCTCGATAATTTCATCATGTCAGTCCCTCAAAAATTTTAAACTTATCGGTGAGGATCATTTTGGCCATTAAGGGACCAATTTGCAACACCCTTTGACACTGTTTGGCAAATGGTTAAGGAAAAAGAATTAAACCGAAGGATTAATATAATTAGTCAATTTGATAATCCGAAGGACTAAATTATTAATCTGTTATATAATTTTTATTTTAGCTCTCATGATTATTTTTCGTGTTTGGGAATAACAAGAATTTTGATTATTTTCTTTACAATAAAGTTTATACCCTTTGTCAATCGGCACCTTTAGTATTTGAGAGCAATTTTTCAAAGGTTTGAGGGACTGAAATGTAGTTATTGAAGATTCCAGGGGCTAATATCTTAAAGGGTTATTTAGTACTAGTCCCTGGATCTTCAATAATTCCAAATAGTCCTTCACATCTATAAAATTGCCTCTTAGTCTACAGTTTAGTCCCTTAAAGACCAAAATACCCACAACTTTTCTTTGAAGGGTTATTTACAATTTGGCTCTCTAAAATTGACACTTTTTTAAACTTTGATAGCCTAATTTTTTATACTTTGATACCCCGAAGTTTACATATTTTTTAACTTTCATACCTTAAGGATTCCACATCTTTTAACTTTGAGATACCTCAAAGTTCACAACTTTAATTTTTTTTAATTACTTTGATACTCTGAAGTTTGGGATGTCAAACTATTTAGAACAAAACTTTAGATTATCAAAATCGGAAAAGTATAAACTTTATTGTACAAAAATGCCGTAACAAACGAATTGTCAAGATATCAAAGTAAAAAAAAAGTTGAAAACTTTAAGATATCAAATCAAAGTGTTAAAAAAAGGGGTATTAAAGTAGAAAACATACACTTTGAATACCAACGTGCAAGTAACTCTTTTTCTTTGGGGGACAAAGTGGATTTTAAAGCGAGAAATCGTAAGCGAGGTGTTTTGGTCATCGAGGGACCAAACTACAAGACCTTTAGGATTTGAGGAGCTAACGAACAATTGTTTGACATTTGAGGGGCTAATACCAATAACCCTCTTCTTAAAAGTTAAAACCCGTACTCATTTCGTTCGGGTTTGGTCCTGTGGACTCGTTCATCCTCTTGCCTTCTCTAAATTTCAAAATATAATAAGTGCTTAATATTGGACGGGGCTCACGCCTATGCTCCCTACAAAATGATGAACCTCTGATTCCAAATTGTTGCCACGATACTCTCATTTCCCAGACACATGCAACTCCCCCCCCCTTTAAAACTTTCCAAGATCAGCAACCTTGATAGAATCCGAGCGGCGAGCCATGGCCTCAGTGCTTCGAGAGACCTCGGGAGCTGCAACGACGAGGTCAGTTCATTTTCTCCCTTTCTCCTTAAATTATTATTACTATTATTATTAAGCATCAAATCTCTCTCCCCCCTAAATAATGATCAGTTTTGCTATTTATTTTTTTGGTAATTTACTAGGAGGCTTAACCCTTTGAATGTGAGAATGGAATCTGGGAGAGGGATATCGATCAGCGAGCGGGGCAAGAGCTGGACGATTTGTTTGCATGCGTTCGCGGATATGTCGCATGTGCCTCCAGCTGTATTTGTGTATCTCTTGAAGGAATGTTACCTTTCTGGTAAATTTTTTTTGCCCCCCTCCTCCTTCCTATTGGTAATTTTATTTTTTTAGATTATTGATTTACTTGTATCTAGGCTATTGTGGAAAATAATGGATATGTTGTGTGGATTTCATTAATTTTTTCTCTTCTTATTATTGTGGGTTAGTATGTGTACTTATGGCATTGGGCAATTCAAGTGCTTTATTGTACACTAGTTTGGTAGTTGCTTTATAATCTATAAAGCTCAAGGTTTGAGCGTGGAACTTTAAATGAGATGTTTTGAGGCTTAAAGGGTTGTTGAGGCATTCTCAAATTTGAAATTAGGCTATTATTTCTAGTTTGAAGGTAGGAGCTTGTTGTGGCTTGGCTCTCGTTGCCGCGTGTTTCCTTATTTCTATAGGATTTGCTGCAGAAAAGAAAGCACTTGGTTGATGTTTCATCGAAATGTTCAGAAGCTCCTTTTTTTTTGGGTTATGATAGAATCCTTGTTTTGCAATTATGAGATAACTCTTCAAATTTGTTGTGTTGTTTATCTCTGCTTGTATATGGTCCTGAATTTTCTTTTATAGGTTCTTTTTCGTTAAAATCAGGTCGGTAAAACTCCTGTAACTCGATTGTCTGCAAATGTGCTGAGAGATTGGGTCGTAACAGTACTTTTCATGAGCTTTCTGTAGTTATCTTCGTCAGCCTTAACCTGACCTTAAATATGTGTTTTGTCATATATATATATATATATATATATATATATATATATATATATATATATATATATATATATATATATATATATATATATATTATATATATATATATATATATATATATATATATAGAGAGAGAGAGGAGAGAGAGAGACGAGAGAGAGAGAGAAAATATGGAGAACCTTGGTACCAAGTTGCTTAAAGTAACTTGGTAGTGATGTGGCCTAATCTTGCCCCTACATCACACCCTCGAAGATAGAGCCTCAACCACCCTTCACCAACTCCAATGTAGATGTAGGGACAAGATTAGGTCACATCACTATCAAGTTGTTTGGAGCAACTTGGTACCAAGTTTCTCCATTTTTCTCATATATATATATATATATATATATATATATATAATATATATATATATATATATATATATATATATATATATAATATATATATATATATATATATATATATATATATATACCATGCTTGCTTTTGAAGATGCAAATCCAATTTTCATCCTTTGTGCATCCCTTTCTTCACGATGAGCGTACTTCTTACCTACCCCGTCTCTTTTTCATTTTGCATCATATTTGCTTTCAGATATGGCCTTCTATTAGATTCTTATTTATTCTATTTTATAGTAGGCAATGCCTTAGTGCCAGGATTCATTAATGGGGCTTAACTACGAAACTTTCAACTCCACTGGTACACTTCAGAAGACGTCCTGATAACCAATTGGAACCTTACGAATGATATGATGCTTGTTGAATTGTATGACCAAACCTTTGTTACATTTGTATGCCGAAGACACTTTTTTTTTCATTATCCAGTCATCCATGATCATTTCTTACTTTCTGTTAAACATCTTGCAAATTGATGAATGCATATTCTATCAAGGTTGTGGAGCAACTGAGCAAGACATGTCCTGAGCTTTTGCATGCCCCTAACTGGTGTTAGATCGAGCTATCCGTTGATGTTGGATTTATAAGATGACTGTGGCACTAGCTATACAAGTTTCCAACTGACCATCCTTGCCCTTTCTGTTGTTTTCTTGTTCCTCTTGCTTGTTCCAATGACAAACTTAAGACTTTGAGTCACTTTCTTTTGATGAATAAATATACATTTTGAAAATTTGTGGGAAGCCATAAAATTTCTATAAGATTTACTTTGTTGGTTTGAGGACAAATATATAATGTTTTGTAATACCCTATTCAAAATAGAATATGTTGATCTGACATTAAAGAACCTTTATATCATTCTTCATTTCTTGAATTCCTAGCATAATAGTGTTTCAAGCAATGTCCATAAGCAGATATACTCTTATTAGATCAAGCTGGGAACCCTGCAAGATCACTCATAGAAATGGGAGCTGATGTGATTGCATAAGGTGGATGACATTCTCCTCTAAATAAAGGAGGAAAGATCATATTCTTTTTCTGTCGGTTGACACTTCATGCCAGGGCTTGAATTACATAACAAGACTAATTCTTTTACTAAATCTCCTCAAATTTTTAGAGAGTAGCCGCTGGATTTTTTCTGAATTCAGATTAGATGGGAATGAAGATACTGATTTATGAACAAGATAGGTCTATAACTTTAAAATACATTTTTGTATTTATTTTATATAAAACTTGATTAATCCTACTTTCATGAAGCTACTCGAAATCCTTTGGTCGAGTAGAATCAACATGTAATGCAATGACAGGACTCACTGGAAACAACATTTGGTCCAATAGAATCAACATGTAATGCAATAACAGGATTAACTGGAAACAATACTTGACCATTACTTTTAGAAGGTGAATTTTTCCAGGCAGGTGGGCTAGTCAGAAAAAACACCGTGATTCATTGTTAGTCTGTTAATAGTTCTCCTACGCAAGTTCTAGCTATACGCATAGTTCCAGCGTAATTTTTTTTTCCATTAGATAAGGTGAAAAAAAACTATTGGTTTATGTTCTTAACTTTGCATTATATTAATTATTGTCAATTCTATGTTTGAAATCTAAAATTTTAATGTTCTAATTTTTAGTTGATAAAGCTAGTGTTTCTTATTGCAGAAAAGTAATATGTTTTTAATTCTTAAATCAGTAAGGTGTGTAGAAGTATGGGAGTGTATTCCTCTTTTCATGCAAGACTATCAAAGGCGATAGTGGTGTTCAAAGGTGCTTTGAGACTTTCTGGTTATTGATATGATAGCATATATACCGTTGAAGCTCGGTTCAAATTTGTATACCCAAGAGATAATTTTCTATTTAAAGATGTTTTCCCTTTTGATTGTATTTATAAGTATCTCCATCTAGAATGAGTGGTCATACTGGATGTGATTTGCTTAATTTGTCTGTGTTTTTGATAGGCACACGTACAGCAACTCAAAAGTTCAAAGTCCTTCAGCAGCATGTTTTTCAAGCACTCCATAATGCGCCCCAACCAGGCCCAGCTACGTTTATTGTTCAATGTCTTTATGTAGTGCCTCTATTAGGTCTTCCATATGGTGAAGGATTCAGTCATCTACTGACGTCCTCTATGCGCCGATTAATTTCAAGAGCTCCTGAATCTGGTCGAAATGATTTTCCGGGAGCAAAGCGCCTTGCGACACATTTATTTCTCGATATTCTTGCTGGTGCGGTTGTCCATGCAGAGCGTATTCTAATAAAGATATTAGAAAATTTTGAAATTGAGTTGAAAGATGTTGGAGAGGCAATATGTGGTGTGGACTTGAGAACCGATGTCTTGGATATAGCGAAGGCACGCATTGAGCATTATATACTAGCCTTTATGGAATCAGAATCTTATGTGACTGCTGTAACGCTATCAGAGCACTTCTCCATCTGCCCATCTGGTGATTTTTTTCTATTGAAAATGATGGAAAACAATCAATTCAAACCAGCAGAAAAGTGGGCCACATTAATGGGGAAGCCGATGGTATGTTTAGTGATCCAAAAATATCTGGACATGAAAATGCTGAAGAGTGCCTATGAAATGATAAAGACAAACAATCTTAAGCAGGAATTTCCAGATGTGCATCATCTCTACAAAGAAAGGTATTTATGTCGAATTTCCTTTTATTTTGAACAAGTTCCATTATGTATGTTGAACTTAGCCATTTCATTACTATGCTGCCGAAGTATTCTTGTTAATGTATACAGTTACTATTTATTGTTCATCCAACTGCAGTTTACTAAAGAAATTAGCTGAGAAAGGATGTTGGGACATTGCAGAACTTAGAGCTCAGAAGGACAGACAACTTTTGAAATACCTGGTAAAAATATTGCATTGCTTGATATTTGGAAAGCCTGTGTTTTGCAGCTGTAATTGTTGAAATGTTGTATAACTGTGCAACAATCTTAATAGGATATAGGAATGTTTGTCGTTGTTAACTTCTTATCTGACCCAGAAGGATATTAAATCAGATTCTTAAATCTTAGGGCGTCTCCAATGGAGCGCCAAAACTTCATTTTGGAGTGATTTGGCGCTCCAATGGAACACCAAACATCCCGCTAAAATAGCGGGATGTTACAGTATTGTGCCAGAAAATGGCACAACACTGTAGCATTGGCGCAATTAAATTTTTTTTTTGTGAATTTTTTTTATGGAAGGTCTTATGAGAAGAAATGTAGAAACAAACTTTTTTTCCTTTTGTTATTTATATTTGTATTAATAATATATATTATTTTATATTAACTATTATAATGAAATTAGAGTATAAAATAATTATTAAAATAAAATTCAAAAATGGAAAAAAATAGATAATTTAATCTAAACACTTAAAATTTCATAATACTAGAACGAAATGAAGAAATAAGATAACCTACACCATTTAGATAAAAAAATACAACATAAACATTAGGACATAAAAAAATAGTTAAATACACTATTATAACTAATTATATGTGATGTTAAATGTAAATCTTTAGTTGAATTTATGAAAGTAATATTTTTAATTTGATTTAGCATTTAATTTTTATATTTTTATTTTATTCATAAAATATATTATTATAATTAATTATATGCAATGTATTATATAATTATATAATTTGTTAAATATTTTAAATGGATAAAAATGTTAAAAGATAAGAATAATAAAATGAATATTCTTTTTCGTGTAACATTTGGTGTAATGGTTGAAGATGAAATAGTGATTTGGTGTAAAAACTACACCAACTTGGTGTAAAAACTACACCATTTTGGGTTTTTGGGTTGGAGATGCTCTTAGTAATTCAAAGCAAATAAGGGAAAACGACCCTCTCAAGAGTGTAGGTGAAGACACAACTATAAGTTACTCGCCTCCGCTTTTCTTCTTCATCTCTGAAACGAAGTATATCAAATAGACATCAGCAGCATATTTTAAATTCACTTTATACTATACAAAAGACCCTGTACTGGCCATGCCAAATGCACTATGATATGGAGATTTTTTTGATGGAATTTTTTAGCAGTACAAAATTGACTACAGAACCTTCTGTAACTGTGATTTCTTAAACTAAGACTGTCTTCCTACTTTACATGTAGTGCGAGAGAAGGGAAGTGTAGGCAATTAAACTGAGTTAAACTACAGTTTAATCTAATATATAACTGGAATTTCAGTGATGAAACTTTTCTTGGTCACTAGTATTCTTCCTTCACGGAGGAATGAAGATACCCTGCTTGAGTTCTTGTCGAATAAAAGTTCGTCTATATCTTCATGACATTTTTCTTAAAATATTTATGAGAAACTATGGTACAAAATATGTTGTTCTTCTTGAAGAATATTTGACTGGAATTATGGAGTGCATTAAACTTTTGGTGGGTAAACCTTGATACGCGTTGCTCTCGTATATATTCCCTGAACAATTGCTGAAAGTAAGCGAGTGTTCATTGAGGGCTATGGTGGTTTTATCTGATGGAACAAATTGTCTTTGTGACTTGAAACACATAATTACTTTGCGTTTCTTGATGTTCACAGTAATACTCTGTTAGGGTTTTCTAGTTATCGTGCAGGTATTATCATCTTCGAAAATTAATGCAGAAATAGCTACACATTTTTGCATTGAACAGGAATTTGTAGGTTTCACATGTTGGATTGCATTGGCATAAGTAACTCATATCATTATTCTTTCTAGTAATGAAAAGCAGGATTTACATACATTATCATGTCACTCTCTGATGCGTCAGGAATTAGTTTTGACTTGTTTGCTAGCTTATATTACGCCCTGAAGATGCTTGCATGTTAGAAACTTGTATGATTTCCTACTCTATCTAGCCAATTTTTTACTCCTGGGGAGTTTTGGAAGGCTGTTTCCTGGCTGGATGAGATTGAACTCGATAATTCCATCAATTAGGTAGTTTTCTTCCAGCCACCTGTATTTAAGATTTCATGGAAACACATTTTCTCAACCATAGTTGCAAGGTTTTAAATATCGGATATTGGAGAAATATCAGACAAACGAAGCTGATGTTGGATTGTTTTTTTTTTTTGTTGGCAAGGGAAACCTGGTCACCCCAGCTCAATTTTACTCCCTTTGGGAGTCCCGCCAGCGGCCCTTGATCGATTCCCTGTGGTCCCCAATTTCCTGCAAGGAGCTACCCTTGTTACCAGGGGCTCATCCCCACAGTGTGGGCGAACAGGCAGTGGACCACAAGGACGCGACCTGGTGAGCATACAACGGGCTGAGCCTAAGTGACCAGTAAAACCCCGGGATCCTGTCCCCACCCTTAAACCCACAGGAGCCAGGTGAATACGGTAGCCTGTCCCCACCCTTAAACCCACAGGAGCCAGGTGAATACGGTAGCGGGGATTCGAACCCAGTCGCAACGGGCACGCAGGCTTATGTTGGATTGTTGATATCAGATAAATGAAGTAAATATCAGAGTGCCATATCGACTGATGTGCATATATTATATAATGTTCTAAAGTGTAATCTTAACACATTTAATGATATCTAAGAACTCAAACATGCAAATAATGTATGTTTAGGATCACTGACCAATTATAGAAACTTACTTAGGGAAAAGCCTACTAGAATTTACTAAAAAGCTTCATAGGGCTAGAATTTTTATTAAAAAACATCAAAGGAATTTTGCAGAACTATATTGTTCTATGAAAAACCATATAAAAGGACATATCAGCCATGTCAGGATATATCGCCCAAAAAAGCTAAAAAGCGGTAACGGATATTGAGACCATACCATTTTGAGTAGTCTTATGTAAGGATATATCAGATATATTAGGGATATTAAAAACAATGCATAGTTTCCTTAGAGTGCCTCACCAACACATATGGTTCGTATGATGTCAAATATGATAGCTGGTTGCATGAGCTTGATCAATTAGTACATGGGCTTTCATGAATTTTAGCTTGCTTAACCAAGAATAAATATCAATTTAAAGGTCTGATTTCAAATGATTAGTCGATAACCATTTTAAAAGTTTAAGAGGATGCTTTTAGTTTAGAATTGTGCTACATAGCTTCATTATAAGAGACTTAGATTGCTCACTATAGCATAATATTTGAAGGAGCTCGATCATATGCGAACCCAGTCCTCCATAGTTCTTAGGGACAGAAACAGTAAACCAAGCCACTTTAACCTTTCTATTATTATCAATCATACTAGCCGACAAGAAGTTTCTATATATTTTCTCCACTTCTCTAATAACTTCCTTAGGCAACATGAATATACTCCCCAAGAAAGTTTGCATACTAAAGAGCACAACCTTTATGTGCTGGAGTCTTCCAGCAAAAGAAAGCAATCTAGATGTCCAATACCTGATTCTAGAAATCATTTGCCAATTAGGACATCACAATCATGAGAGGATAAACCATTGAAAGTAAGAGGAATGCCAAGACATCTTAGTGGTAACTTTTCCTCAACAAAATGAAGAAAACTCAGAATTTCATGCCTTGTATTAGCAGATACTCGGGCAAAGAAAACCTGGCTCTTTGATTCATTTGCAGACCAGAAGCTTGTGAGAAGTGATGAAATCTGTCCACAATATGGTTAATAGAGGAAATATCACCTTTACAAAAAAGATCATTAGATCATCAACAAAGCATAGGTGAGTTAATTTCATCCTTTTACACTTAGGATGGAAAGGATGGAAATGAAAGTCCTTGACCTTTTGAAGATCAGCCAAACCTCCACTCAAATACTCCATGGCTAGTACAAATAAGTACGGAGATATTGGATCTCCGAGCCTCAACCCTCTAGCCCCAGAAAAGTAGGTCTCGTTTTGTCATTTGATTAAAATAGAGAATGAAACTGATTGGACACGAGACATGATCCACTTCCTGAATCTATGAGGGCAACCAAGTCCAACCAGTGCATTATCCAGAAACTCCCAAGTCCCAACGAAAAGAGTCATAAGCCTTTTTCAAATCAATTTTGATAGCAACACTGTGGCTTATGTTCCTTCTGCGATACATATGGAGAATTTCTTGAGCCATAAGTATATTATGTGCAATATTCCTCCCTTTAATAAAAGCCCCTTGAGATTCACAGATGAGAGAACTAATAACCCCCTTGAGTCTATTTGTAAGCATAGTTGATATACACTTATACAGGACATGGTCACATGCAATCGTCCTAAAATCAGAAGCATGGTTTGGACAAAAAACTTTAGGAACTAGAGTGATGAATGTTAAATTGAGAGTTCTGAGTAGTTTACCACAGTGAAATGATTTAACAACACAGATAGTTCAGTTTGAACTGTCACAAGCCTGACCCAAATTTTTTGTCTCTCTCTTAGCTGGCCGCCAAGTTCAAACTTTTTAGCTGCTTAATTACCACTGACATAGGACTTGATATCTTCAATCTTTCTATTGCCAAGGTAGAACTTCTTGTTTGGTTATTTGACACTTTATCATCACATTGTAATCGTAATTGAATTCTTCTAATGTTTAATTAAATCATAATTGAATTCTTTTAGTGTTTAATTAAATTATTATTCAATTCTATAATGTTTAATTATTAGTTAGTCTATTTCCCATAATTTCATGGAAATTGAACAGTTAATAGTCATGGTATATTTTTCTGACAAATTACTATTAGGATGTATTAGTTCTATATTAAGGGGAAAGAAACTAGTGTCGCCTGGTTTGTCCAAGTTCAAATGCACATCCTTTCAAACTAAATGATTTGTTCTTTATTATTCTTTTTCGTATTTATCCGTTTCGGAATGTGATTCCATCTAAGTAGCATGTAATGACTCAATAAGACCGTGATTCCATATAGCAGGACTTAAATATTACCTATTTGTCCATCCTCTTTCCTAGTTACTGCAAGTTAGAGATTTTGCTCCAGGTCCCTCAATATTTGACTCCGTTACGATAGAACCACCAGTGTGGCAATCCACCTTAATGCTATATGGCTCTGTCTTCTCTTGCTGATAGTTTTCTTAGCAAAGATTTTGGTGTTCACACATATACATTTGCTGGGACTTAGGTAGTTGGTCTTAAACCAGTTGATTCTTTTTCTGGAACTTTTTCCACTTTTGCCTCCATAGATGGCTCAATTTTATGATAACAAGACCGAGTTGGTGATAATTATTCATTTTCTTTATAAAGTCGATGGATCTTTGTCATTGAAGATCGCATCCATAAATTCATCCTTCAAGGGAGTCACCTGAGATGATGCATATTAAATGAATTTACCTGTTTGAATTTTCTGAATCCTATATTTATATACATCTATCTTATCCTACCAGATGTTGTCTAGCCACAGAGCTGAAATGATATCAAATGACCTTAATAACTAAACTAAAATGAAAACGGCCGCATGAAAATGCATTATAAAGTGGCCAGCTGAAAATCCGTAAACCTAAATTTTGGTATAAGCTTAATTAATATGACCTACTGCAAACCATATCTCGATGCAGTTTATATGTTACATGGCCTTAGTTGAGATTGATGGTGGAACAGACTTTGTGCACTCTATTTTATGTTTAAGAAAAGACTACTTGCACATGCTTATGCCAAATAAATAAAATTCATGATTGGCAAACTGTAATGCTTTCTCAATATGTGCTTTATCCCCATTAAAACAATCAACATGGAGCCGACTCCAAAATTTTGTGATAAAGGCCGTATTATTGTAGTTATTGTATTAGCTCAGAGAAGCAAATTAAAATTTTCCTTATCAGCAAGCATTCTGATGAGGAGTGTGTGTAATATTATCTACTTGCTTCTTGGTTTGAGCACGTATTTCAGCAATCGTATAATTTTCTTTGCTGCTTTTAATTAAAGGTTTATTTGGCTCTGGAAGCTGGCTACACTGAGAAGGTCAAAGAAATATGTGACCGTTACACCCTTGAAGGTTTTGATGAAATTTCTGGTATGCTCGCTATGTAGTATAGTATTATGATATAGTATGCTACTCTAGACTCAGATATCCATTTTTATTTCATATTGATATGTCCTGTTCTGTTTTACATCTTTATAGCTGTTATCTAATATGAACCACCACTATTCCGATCACTATAGAACAATATAAAATGCCATCTGGTTATGCAGAACAGCACCTGGTTTATTTCTAGATGTTGATGGCGTTGTAGACGATTTAGTTATCTATTACTTGTGGTATATACTCTTTGATAACTTTTCTACTAAGGTTACAACTAATCTGTCTTGGATAACTTATTTATGTAAGTCTTGTTTATTGAGGATATAATGGTCTCCAAAATAATTTAAAATGATAGCACAGTTAAGGACATATTTTAGCCTGTGGTAATCTTCCCATGCTATGTGACTGGTTAAATTTGGTATTTTAACAGCTAGTGCATTATCCCATCTATATTCCACTTAAATAAGCTCTTTTGTTTGTCAAGAGTTTGCACAAAAAATCCACAGTTTGATCATCGAAACCCAGAGTAGGATTTGCACAAAAGTCCTGTTGTGCGCAGCGGAAATTTCGGCAGCACCTCCGGTGCGCAATGTGCACAACAAGAGATTAGATTATAATGAAATTCTCGTTTCTCAAAGGAAACAAGAACCAAAAGTCAAATATCTCATCAAAGTGAGATATCAGCTCTTCCTCTCGTCAGCTCTAGGACTGCGCGTCGAGGGAACCTACAAGCTATTACAAATCACGGCAAGAACACAAATTTTACGTGGTTCGGCAAATAACCTACGTCCACGGGGCAAGGAGGGGGAGATCTACTAATAAAGGGAGAGATACAATTGGGATTTACAATCTCACAAATAAAACACTCTCACAAACTCTCAGATCCCTCACACAAATATTCTCTCAAAGGGATGCACAAATCAAAGAACAACTGCAAAAGGACTGCTCAAACTCTCTGCTCGCGTTTTTTACCCGCACGAAGCCACACGCCGCCTCTGCAATTTACTCCTTGCACACCCGCTGTCAAAACTCCTCTCTGCACTTTTTTTTTCTTTTGTAGCCGCAAAAGACCGCAGCCAAAGCCTCCTTATCCACAAAACCCTAGCAGAAATTTTCGTGTGCATTTATAAGCATGAGATGAAATCGGGTGGGCCGCAGCAGCTTTCTTCACGCGTGATTGCTTCACGCGAGCTTCGTTCACCTGCAGTACTTCACGCACGTGGTGGCTGGGCCCCACACTCACAATTCTCCACCTTGGTGAAGTTTTTCTCAAAACTGAGCCGACACCAAAGCAACGAAAAGTCCCACTTGTTGTGTCCAGTACAAACTCAATCCACAACAAGTTAAGAACCCGAAAGAGAGTCCAAACGATCTCAACCCCATCAAAACCAACTAATCTAACCGGCTGCATCTAAAGACTGACTACGTATCCTCTTGCCCAAGGAATCAAGCCGAACGTAGTTCACCAAAATGGCCTCCAAAGACCTCAACACCAAAGAATATTCAAAAGTTTCAAACAATGACCAAACTTAACACCTGAAACTTTGGTCAACATATCTGCAGGGTTGTCCTTCGTGTGAATCTTCTCCAATATGACGGTTGTCCTTCGTGTGAATCTTCTCCAATATGACGTCTCCTTCATCCAAAACATCACGAACAAAATAGAATCTGACATCGATGTGCTTCGTGCGTGCATGATAAACCTGGTTCTTCGCCAAATAGATAGCTGACATGCTATCACAATATACCCGAAGGGTCTCCTGTACGATCCCCAAGTTCTCCAATAATCCCTGCAACCACAAAGCCTTCTTCACAGCTTCAGTCAACACCATATATTCTGCCTCCGTAGTGGAGAGAGCCACTGTAGACTGAAATGTGCATCTCCAACACATCGGTGCTCCTGCTAGTGTAAACACATATCCGCTAGTAGACCGACGCTTGTCCAGATCCCCCGCATAATCAGAATCCACGTAACCAATACAATCCTGCCCTGTCTTCTCATTCTTCTGAAATACCAAACCAACATCCACGGTACCTTTGATATACCGTAGAATCCATTTCACGGCCTCCCAATAACCCTTCCCGGGGTCGTGCATGTATCTGGATACCATGCTCACGGCCTGTGACAAATCTGGCCTTGTACACGTGCATGTATCTGGATACCATGCTCACGGCCTGTGACAAATCTGGCCTTGTACACACCATCGCATACATTAAGCTACCCACAACATTAGCATATGGAACTTTAGACATGTATTCCCGATCCTCAACTGAAACAGGTGACATCTTAGCTGATAGCTTAAAGTGTGGAGCTAATGGAGTACTCACCGCATTGACATTTCCATCATAACTGAATTTCTTCAGCATCTTCTGCAAATAACTCCTCTGTGTCAACTTCAACCTCCCCTTCACCTTGTCTCTCTCGATCTCCATACCTAATATCTTCTTTGTTTCTCCAAGATCCTTCATCTTAAATTCGGATGACAGCTCCTTTTTTAACTTTCTAATAGCTAAAGTATTCCTGGAAGCTATGAGCATATCGTCATCATATAACAGCAAATAGATATACTCACCATTCTGTAGCTTGTGCATGTAAACACACGGATCATATGGGCTTCTCGTGTACCCTCGGCCAATCATAAAGCCGTCGAATCTCTTGTACCATTGTCGCGACGATTGTTTTAATCCGTAAAGAGACTTCTTCAGCTTGCATACCAATTCTTCTTTTCCTGCAGCTTTGAACCCCATAGGTTGTGTCATGTAGATCTCCTCTTCTAAATCCCCATGTAGAAAGGCTGTTTTAACATCCATCTGGACCAAATCCAAATCCAGCTGTGCCACCAATGCCAATAAAATACGAATCGACGAATGCTTCACAACAGGTGAAAATACCTCATTGTAATCAACGTCCTCTAGCTGTGCATATCCCTTGACAACCAATCTGGCTTTGAATCTAATTTCTCCAATAGAAGATCCCTCTTTCTTTGCATACACCCACTTGCATCCAATAGCCTTCTTACCTTTTGGTAACTTTACAAGTTCCCAAGTGTCGTTCTTATGAAGAGACTGCATCTCTTCCTCCATAGCTTTCCTCCACCTAATCGAATCAGAGCTTGACTCTGCTTCCTTGAATGTAGAAGGAATCAAATCATCAACGACTTCTGCTGATAAAGCATATGCAACCATGACATCGTCATATCTAGCTGGCCGACGAATGTTTCTTTTTGGTCTATTAGCTGCAATGGACTCCTGAACATGACCCTGTTCCTGAGTCCCAACATCCACTGTATCCTCTAAATACCCGGCTGTCATCTCATCTTCTCCCAGTGTCACCTCTGTAGGAGCCTCAATGGATACAATACTATCTGGAGTGGGTGGAGTCACATCATCCTCCACCTGCTACGATATCTCCTGAATCTGGTCTTCCTCCACCTGCTGAGGGACTTGAGGCTTCATCATGTACATCTCGTCAAATGTGATATCCCTGCTAATAACTATCTTCTTGTCCTGTGGATCCCATAACTTGAAGCCTTTAACTCCATCTCTAAATCCCACAAAGACTGCTTTCCTCGCCCTCGGATTCAATTTACCATCATTGACATGGTAATAAGCAGGACACCCAAATATCCGAAGCGACTCATAGTCACTAGCTACCGAACCAGACCAACGCTCCAACGGAGTCTTCTCCTGTATCGCAGTGCACGACAACCTATTCATGAGATGGTTCGCATAAACCAATGCCTCGGGCCAAAAGGATCTTGACAATCCACTTTGTGTCATCATACATCGCACCTTCTCCAGCAAGCAGCAATGTACGATTTAACCTTTCAGCCACCCTTTTCTGTTGCGGTGTCTCACGTACTGTGAAGTGTCGCCTAATGCCGTGATCCCGGTAAAACTACAGAAACAGATCACTCTTATACTCTCCACCATTATCAGAACGTAGAGTCTTTACCTTTCTACCTGTCTGCAGCCCCACTTTCTTCTTCCACTCCACAAAAATATCCAGAACCTGATGTTTATGTTTCATCGGGTATACCCAATTTCTCCTGGAATAGTCATCAATGAAAGTGACAAAATAGTTGGCCCCACCAAGTGATGTGTGCTTGGAAGGGCCCCAAACATCTGTGTGAATATAGTCCAATATACCTTGGGTATTGTGAATAGCGGTGTCGAATTTTACTCTTGTCTTCTTTCCAAGTATACAATGTTCACACAGCTCCATCTTGCAGGTCTTCGCACCCTTCAATAGCCCCTGCTTCGCTAATACCTGCAGGGACTTATCACCAGTGTGTCCCAATCTCATATGTCATAAACTGGTAATATCTTTCTCTGTGGTAATCGAAGCTGCCAGACCCTTTGTTACTGTCTTGCCCTTCAAATAGTAAATGTTATTTTTCCTGACACCACGCATCATCACCATGGACCCCTTTGTGACCTTCAGAGTCGCATTCTCCAAGATCACCTTATAACCAGCTGCCTTCAAAGTTCCAAGCGAAATGATATTCTTCATCAATTGAGGAACGAATCTCACTTCCTTCAGCTCCCGAGTCACCCCGTCACACATCCGGATCCGTACTGTACTAATACCACCAATAGGGCATACGTGATCATCACCCATGAGCACGACATCCCCTCTTTCTAACTCCTCAAAGCTAGAGAACCAATCCCTCTTAGGACAAATATTGTATGTAGCACCAGAATCCATCATCCACTCCGTAGAGTTAGCGTAACAAACTGACGATAGTGCAGAGCAGGAATAGCCTGAAGAATCTGTATCTGAATTGTCATCACTAGCCTTGACAACATTCACTTCCGAAGCTTGTACAACTTTCCCTTTATTCTTCCCGGCTTTATCTTTTAACTTTGAGCAGTCGTTCTTCCAATGTCCTTCTTCTTTGCAAAAGCGACATTGATTCCTACCAATATTTCTATGGCCACCTCTTGATTTCGATCTTGAGCGATCACCTAGACGATGGTTTGGATCACGACCTCGAACTGCTAATGCATCTCCCGATGCCTTCTCGGAGGGTTCGCCATCACTCTTTCTCAACTCATAATTCATCAAAGCTGATGTCACCTCTTTGTAGCTAACCGTAGTTCTTTCATTTATCATAGTGAGAACAAACGTTCCAAAATCATCTTCCGGCAACGAACACAATAGTAGCATCGCCTTGTCTTCATCCTCAACCATGATATCTACATTAGCCATATCCGAAATTAGCTTCGTGAAGTTGTTAACATGCTCCCGAATGAAAACTCCCCTCTTCATATTGAATTGGTAAAACCTCTTCTTCAAGTGAAGCCGATTCTCAATGCTCTTCGTCAGATACTTCTCATTGAGTGTTTCCCACATTTTCTTCACCGACGTCTCGTTCATTACGTCATAAATAAGATCCGGCGTCAAGCATGACCGAATAACTCCACAAACCCTACTATTCATTTTCTTCCAAACCTTGTCCTCCATATCAGCGGATTTCTCTTGTAACTCAAGAGTCTCCTTCAAATTTTGTGTATCCAAGACGTCCATCACCTGACACATTCACAAACCGAAATTGATCTTGTCGTCGAACTTCGGAACATTAATTTTTATATTATTGATGCTCAGACTCTGTATCGCCTTCGAAAGAGACGATCCCGATGTGCTTGTTTCTCCAATGTTGTCGATCTAATTCTTCAAATAGGAATTCTTCAGCGAATCCTTCGAACAAGTTTCCAAATCCAATTCGGAGCTCTGATACCACTTGTTGTGCGCAACGAAAATTTCGGCAGCACCTCCGGTGCGCAAGGTGCACAACAAGAGATTAGATCACAATGAAATTCTCGTTTCTCAAAGATAACAAGAACCAAAAACCAGATATCTCATCAAAGTGAGATATCAGCTCTTCCTCTCGTCAGCTCTAGGACTGTGCGTCGAGGGAACCTACAAGCTATTACAAATCACGGTAAGAACACAAATTTTACGTGGTTCGGCAAATAACCTACGTCTACGGGGCAAGGAGGGGGAGATCTACTAATAGAGGGAGAGATACAATTGGGGTTTACAATCTCACAAATAAAACCCTCTCACAAACTCTCAGATCCCTCACACAAATATTCTCTCAAAGGGATGCACAAATCAAAGAACAACTGCAAAAGGACTGCTCAAACTCTCTGCTCGCGTTTTTTACCCGCACGAAGCCACACGCCGCCTCTGCAATTTACTCCTTGCACACCCGCTGTCAAAACTCCTCTCTGCACTTTTTTTTTCTTTTGTAGCCGCAAAAGACCGCAGCCAAAGCCTCCTTATGCACAAAACCCTAGTAGAAATTTCCGTGTGCATTTATAAGCATGAGATGAATCGGGTGGGCCGCAGCAGCATTCTTCACGCGTGATTGCTTCACGCGAGCTTCGTTCACCTGCAGCACTTCACGCACGTGGTGGCTGGGCCCCACACTCACAAGTCCCTATTAAGTGTTTATTTTGAATTTTAATAGACAATGGATGCTGATCTCCGACGTCAGCGTATAGTTTGTCACATGGGGGGTCTGATGCTAATATAAGGTCTTGTTGACTATATGAAGAATGTCTAAAGTAGAGATTACCTACAAATTGCTCAGGAAAAGTATTTCATCTCTTACCCTTATTTGATCCTGGACCAGACTAACCCCTTTGTAGGAAGAAAATGTTGAGATCTATTTAGGAGGAACAGGTTATTCTACAGCTTCTTAGAGTTTTGCCTCAAATTCCTATGATCAGCTTTCTTTACTTTCTTCTATATTTGCCCTTTTTTATATTTTATATGTTATTAGGTTGCTTGTTAAGTTTATATTTAAGCACTGACATAAATCTATATCATTTACAACAGTATCATATTCAATTAAGGTCAAGACAATAGATAAGTCTTGGTGTCTGTCATACTGTTGGATTGCAGGCTTGCAGGCTCACAGAGTAGAGTTTGTACAGAATCACAAAGTAGCTTTTACTTTTGAAAATTTTCATGATCAAGATCTCTATTGTTTCTGATGCTATGATAATGATCATGTTGTCAAAGATTGTGCTAGTAGAGAGGTTTATGAGCAGAGTACACAGAAAAAGCATGTCACAGTTGATCCCTATTTGATCATGGACCAGTTACCCCTTTTCTGAGGAGAGATTGTTGAGATCCACTTATGGAGGAATAGGTTATAATAGAACTTTTTTGAGCGTTTATGTCATTTTAGATTCCTCTGATCAGCTAAGTTTCTGTTCTTTTCTTCTCTTTTTTGTGTTTGCTCGCTTCTTTAATTTTAAAGATTATTATGGAGCTAGTTAGGTTTGTAGTGAACCACTTAGCACAGAATGTATATCATTTACAATGGCATTGAACTCAATTAAGGATACGGCAACAAGGAGTTTTGGCTTCTTTCATATTGTTAGAGAGATTGCAGATTGGCTGGTTATCTGTCTTTGATTCTTTATACTTGAAAACATGCCCCACGAGGAGGCATTACTATGGAATCATTTGGCTATGACGCGTTTGTTTTCCTGCCACTCATACAACACACATCCACACAATGTTTATTTTATTGCATACTGTACTTTTTCATAAACTTTATTTTCTGTCCATGTTTATTCTGATCAAAATCATAGTACATATTTATGCTAAACCAAAATTATTTGCATTTTTTTTCTATTGAGTACATGACCGTAGAAAGTTTTCTTTCTAAGATAGTTGGTTTGAAGAAACTCGAGAAAGGGAAATTATAGATTACCTTTTGTTCTGTCCTATATTGGATTACAGAATGACTGTAACTGTTATGGAAACCTTATGGTAGGAATATATGTGAGAGGAAGAGTAAGAGAAGGGACATCTAGATGATTCTTGTGTGCAAAAAAAACCACCAAGACAAATGCATTTAGATCTTAGTTGTGGAAATTTGTATGAAGCCTGGCATTAACATAATTAATTTGCAATTACCATGTACCATTTTGCATGTTGGGTATGTTTTAAAGATCTGAAAAGTTTTTAATTTCTATATTTCTTTTTCACTGTATTTCCCACTAATTATCGTTTAGATTAGTCAAATTTGTTCCATGAGTTCTCTTACATCCTGTAGGTTTATACTTAGGGTTAATTTTGCATATGATATGCAGTGTCGGATGAATCCTCTCGCACCTCTCAATTCTTGGATCTTAGTAGTTTGATTTTGGATGATATTATATGGGTGGATGATATCAATGGGTTACTTGCTGCTACTAACTATATTGAGGGATGTAAAGTTATTGGTCTTGATTGTGAGTGGAAGCCTAACATTGAAAAGGGATGTCAGCCAAATAAGGTAAGATTACGTATTTAATTGAAAATTGATACCTAGCTTTATTTTCTGTTTCTATTGGAGTTTAACATTTGTCATATCATTGTTTATAAAATTTTGTTAGAGCTCTGTTTTTCAAATTTGTTATGAGGAAGAGTATGGTATAGTATTGAAGTGGACTTTTGCTTGTTAGTTTGTCAGCAAAGGTGGGGCTGGTAAACTTAACTTGTTCGGGTCTGTTTATAGATAATATGCATCTATGCTTTACAAGTAGTAATTCTAGCCGATTTAGTTTGTTGATGTGTATATAGTAAGTACTCTGAAAATTACCACATTGACCAAGCTGGTACATCCACCTTGCATTTTGCACTTGATGATTAGCTATTTAGCAATATCATTACATCAAAAGAGTTTTAGTGTGGCAAATGCTTTAGGAAGCTCGGATATCGGAGATGGCCCTTGTCATATTGATTGCACAGGATTAAATAGATAATCTGTTTTTCAATAAATTGTGCTAGGGATTGAATAAGTGACAGTGAATGATTAAGGCACAGTTTGCTTGGGCTTAAAGCTTATTTCTGGTCATAGACCAGTGAACAATCCTCTTTCTAGCATATGTTATTCATCTTGGTAAAAAAAACTTCTTGTGCTCTGATGGTTTACATTTGATACTCCAAGGTTTATTTAATTTTTTATTCAGAAGCTTGAGAACACCATGGTGATATATAGGCACTCAAAATCAACTTATAATGTATAAGAAAGACTAAAGTCACGTCACAGTGTGTGCAAGTGACGGATCAAAATAATGGGAGTAGAGAGGGACAAGGAACTAGGCAAAAGATCTAGAATCATTCATTAGGAATAACACAATGATCTGGATTCTGAAGTGAAGTAGGAAGATAATGATAAAGGACATAGTGCAGCACGCATGGGCGCGCGCGCACACACACACACTGAAGTCAAGCCTAGGTCTGGCTTTTAACAGCCTATCAGCTATGCCGGAGGCAATTGAATAAGAAAAATAAGCGTGGTGGTGAAATTGTTCTCACATTCCAGTGCACCTCCTGGGAATGAGTAAAGTGTTAAGTAGTGGTTGGTCACAATACAGAGGGATGTAAAGTGTGAAATTCTGTCCCAGTTGAATAGGGAGATAACATGACTGCAAGTCTGGAACCAAAATATATGTAGAATTTTTCCTTTCCGGCTCCAAGTTAGGTTCAAAGCCTATAAATTAGTCCATTTGCTCGTGGGCATATCTTGAGTTATGTTTTGGAGATTCTAAATAGTGTGTCCTTAAGTCTCTATTCTCAAGTCGACCTAGTGAAAATGAGAAAATAGTCAAACTGTAGTTGAGCACAATAAAAAGGGATGAAAAGCGTGAAATTCTGTCCCATTTGAGTAGGGAGATAAAAAAGATTTGTGTTTGGGGATTTAAAGAGTGGCCATAAGGGTTGGACGCCTCTAGCTTAAAGCAAAAGGTAGCTTCGTCAATACATGCAATTTTCTGTGATGGTTTTAGGCTTTAGGATGAAGATGGCTCACATGATGGCCACATACCATAACACTTAAAAAGCATTGGTCCCATAAGAAATGTACTCCACAATCAGGGAGGCAAAAATATGCTGTTAAGTTATTTCTGCATACTTGTCGCTAGGAGTTGAAAACAAAATTAAGTGTAACTTGATGCGTAAAGGGATCAATTGTACCGTATCTGCGTTGGTATGAAACGCCACGAAGTTTGTGGGGAATCTTGGGATGTTTCATATCTGATTGGCTTAGTGGAAAGAATAACCTATTCAGGCTGGTCCTTTGAGTTAGATTGAAGGGATACAAGGTGTGGGATTAGTTTCAAATTGAGGAAGGAGATGAAAGGATAAATGGGTAACATATTTGCACCCCAAACACCATTAGGGTTTTCCCTTTTATATTTCTTGGGTTTGTAGGACACTGACCAATCTATCACATTCCAACTTGGGCCTTTGAATGAATTCTTATTAGCTCGTTCCCAATTCCAATGCTATCCAGGATTTAAATCATGACTATCAATAAACAAGGTCTTAAGCTTGTGATGTATACGTTGTATATCCATTCTCCCTTTATTCGATTCACATATATCTAGCAAAAATTATGAAATGCTACAATCACAACTATATAAAAGTTAAAAAGATATGTTAGCAATTACAAAGTTATTACTTTTCTATTTAATGTTGCAAACTTGTTAGTAGGAAGACTTTATTTCTAGTTCCACTCTGTTTTATTGGAGGTAGTCTAGACTCTAGATATTAGTTAATGGTAGTGAAAGATCTTTAGGCATTAATAGATAGTAATGGATCTTGGAGGTATATATTTGCAGAACTGACAAGCCAAACTGCATATGGGAATTGGCATAGTTTATAACTGCGTTTCCTTTCTAGTTTATACAATTTGAATCTCCTTGATAATTCTTGGACCCTGATTTTCAAGCTGCTATTAACATTAACTTTTATGATTTATAAATTATTTGGAAGGTTGTGTAGCTTGAGAGACAGGTACACGTTATGCCATTGATTTCTTTATTTCTCTAACTTTTACCACATTGTCAGTCGCTTAATACACTTTGACAATATCTACTATTTTTTCCATGAAAAAACATTTTCTACCCTAAATTCTCTTGTGATTCTCATCAAAATATCTCCATCTTTCTTCAACTTCATCCTCATTTTGTACTCTTTTTTCCATGAAAAAATATTTTCTACCCTAAATTCTCTTGTGATTCTCATGAAAATATCTCCATCTTTCTTCAATTTCATCCTCATTTTGAGAACCCTCTTTAAAGAACAGCATATTAAAGATATGATGAAGTTACTTTCTTAAATGTTCAATAAGAATCTTCCATGAACATTTCAGGTAGAATTGTGACTAGATTATCAAATCATCGACAGGAATTGCCTCTATTTTTTTAAATAGGTTAGTGATTTAAATATGCTTTAGGTTGCGTTTGGATTCGAGAATTTGGTTTCAAGTTCCAGAATTGAATTCTGAAATTTGAAATCCAGAATTTCAAATTCAATTCCTTCGTTTGGGAAACATCCAAATTTAAATTCCAGAATTCAATTTGAAATTCATGTTTGGCAAACTTTAGAATTTTAATTTTAAAATTTTCAATTGAGTTGTTTGTCATCTAGTAGAATTCTAATTTCTAAACTAAAATTGTAGCTCGAAGATAATTTAGAAATAAAATACTCAAATTATATAAGGTTTGCATCGAAATTGGTGGAAATAAATGCCTCAAATAGTATAGTACATATCCAACCAACAAGGCATATAGATTAAATACTTTAAAACCTCGAATGCAGTGATGTCAATAGTTCACCTAATAATCATCATAAAAATAACCGAAATCATTCATCAATAAAACTTCGTAAACTTGTCCACCACTAACCAAAACAATAAATAAAGTAGAAACTTCAAATATTGCATATAACAATTCAACAAACTAGAGATCCAAAATATGTTCGAGCTACAATTTTAGTTAATATTTCCCCGTTATACATTATCATTCTTAAATTGCTCTCGCTCTCGTTTCTTTAAAACTTTTGCATCTGATTCAAATAAGAGTTTCTTTCTAATGCTTATACACTGTTGCTTTGTATTTCTTATTATAGCTTTCTCTCCCCAGTTCAAGAGGTCCTGCTTTGCGAGGTCTTAAATCACCTGAAACAATAAGAAGACCAAATGAGCTCCATTTTAAAGTGTGATACTATAAAGGAATCTCAAGAAAACAAAAGAAAAATAACCATGGAAATAATCTATTAGCATATAAACCCCCAAGACTTAAAAATGAAAATTGCAGATAAAATATGGGACTATTGCTGCATATACCCCATTCTGGATACTCACTGATTTCATGTCGCCACTCCTGTACAATCCCATTGTTTTATGTTTTTTCATCATATACCCTACTATTATTTTACATTTAATGAGGAGCAACTTAATGATAAAATTACACAATGAAAACATGCTTTACCTGACATCTGCAGTTTATAACTAAGTCATAAAATTATCCTCAAGGTATTCATCTTAAATTAACAGTTAAACCATATTTCACTTTACATTAACAAATAGGCAAACTTCATAAAAATTTAGTAGATTAAAAGACAACATAAACTAATCATCCACCTAAGAGTTGACTTTCTTAAACCCAACACGCACCAATTTCTTTATAGTTGCTTAGACCACAACTACAGCTCCAATCCTAATACCAAATCCATGCACAAATGTCATTGAAGATTAATTTCAAACATAATGCATAAACTTATTCAAAAAGAGATAAAACCAGAACTCTAAATTCGTCTCGCAGTAAGAATAAGAAGGGAAAAAACCCAGATTATACAGAAAGAGAATCATCAAACTCTTTCGACTCACAAACAGACCCATTAACCCAGCTAATCAAGTACTGAATAAAGACCTCACAAGATCTTTAAAAATCAAATCTTTTTCACACCCAAGTTGATAATTCCCCCTAAATTCCATCCAATCTAGCAGATCGAGATAAAAAAAAGAACATACCCAATAATAGAAAATAAGAAAAGTAGAGAAAACAAAAGAGGCTCACCGGAGAAAGGAGGATCCATAAGCGAGATCTGGTCACCGGCGCGGTCGCCTTACTGCTTGCTCAGCTACCTTGCAAGGAAACCACACTCATAAGAACGGGGAGGAGAGAGAATTCACCCTTCTAGAGCTCTCCCCTTATTTCGCACCTTCCATATCCATAGCTGCAATAGAATCATCAATTTGTTCTGCAACCTCGCCAGTTGCTCTATCGGTGCCCACTAACACACATATATCACCCCAATTCTCAATAGCTTTGTTTTGATATGCCTTGGCATCTGAATTTACCTATGCAAGCATGAGAACATACAAAAACATAGTGAGACAATCTAGTAACACAACACCATATATTTCGGGATATAAGAAGCACAAGGCCCTTGATTGTTAGTTGCGTTTTCACAGGATTTTGTAAAGATATACCTGCAATTTTATCA